GACAGGAGGGAGAGGGACAGGGAGGGAGGGAGGCAGGGAGGGAGGAAGAGAAGACAGGAGGGAGGGGGACAGGGAGGGAGGGAGGGAGGGGGAGATGGAGGGAGGGAGGGATGATGGATGGAGGGAAGAAGGGCTGAGGGAGGGAGGGAGAAAAGAGGAGGGATTAAAATGAACCTCCCCCCCTTTCATGGACTGTAGTTCAGACCAGTTCTGGAGTTTCTGGGTGATATGGTCAAATCATATAATTGACAAATCCCTGTGGTACAATTGATCAGAAAAAAGAAAGACCTACTTCCCAAAAGGATCTCTCTCTCTCCCTCTCTGTCCCTCTCCCTCTCCCTCTCCCTCTCCCTCTCCCTCTCTCTCTCCCTCTCTCTCTCTCTCTCCCCCTCTCCCTCTCTCTCTCTCTCCCTTTCCCTCTCCCTCTCTCTCCCTTTCCCTCTCCCTCCCTCTCCCTCTCCCTCTCCCTCCCTTTCCCTCTCCCTTTCTCTCTCTCCCTTTCCCTCTCCCTCCCTCTCCCTCTCCCTCCCCCTCTCCCTCTCTCTCTCCCTTTCCCTCTCCCTTTCTCTCCCTCCCTCTCCCTTTCCCTCTCCCTTTCTCTCTCTCCCTTTCCCTCTCCCTTTCTCTCCCTCTCTCTCCCTCTCCCTCTCCCTTTCTCTCTCTCTCTCTCCCTCTCCCCCACCTCCCTTTCCCTCTCTCTCCCCCCGCTCAGGGGTTGGCACCACCTTGTGTCTCCTCTACCTGTCAGGCTGTCTGTCTGCCGGATCATGGGCAGGTCCCCAGGACTGTCCCTGGGACATGCAGTGCTCAGTGTACCCATCTGGACAGACAGACCCCAGCTGACAAAGAACTAAGCCTCAAGTTCTCCTTGATAGTGTGTGTGGGGGGGTCCACTTTGCAATCACAGAGGGGTGCCCTGGAGCCAGAGAAATGGCCCCGTGACCTCAGTGAATACAGGATGCAGAATCAGCAACATCAGGGACCATTTCAATTACCTTACAGAATCTCTTAACGATGGAGTTCAGGGGATTCTCCCTCGTGTAACTTTATGGTTAGCACTTACCAAACGTACCCTTGGGGCCTGTGTTTGGTGTAGCAGTTAGGACCCCGCTTGGGACACCCACATCCCACATCCGGGTGCCTGTGTCTGAGTTCTGGCTCCAGCCCCGGATTCCAGCTTCCTCCTAAAGCACACTGGGAGGCAGCAGGTGACGGCTCAAGTCACTGGGTCACTGCCACCCATGTGGGAGACCTGGATTTGGGTCCCGACTCCCGACTTCAGCCTAATCCATCCCCAGCTGTTGCAGGCATTTGAGGAGTGAACCAACAGATGAGAAATCTCTGTCTCTCTGTCTTTTTGCCTTTTAAATGGAGAAAATAAATAAATAAACAAATGTTTTTGTTTTTGTTTTAAGAAAAGTACTCTCAGGACTGGTGTGTCAGCACACGGGTTAAGCCACCACCTTGGATGCCCGCGTCCCATTTCAGAGTTCTGGCTCAAGTACCGGCTCTTCCTGGGCTTCCAGTCCAGTTTGCTTCTAATGCAGCCCGGGAGGCAGCAAACGATGCTCAAGTGCTAGGGTCCCTGCCATCCAGTGGGAGACCTGGATGGAGCTCTGAGCTCTGGCTATTGCAGGCTCTCTCTCTACCTCTACCTCTCTCTCCTCTCTCTCTCCATCTCCCCATCTCTGCCTTTCAAGTAGATGAAAATTAATAAATAAAAAGAAAAACAAATAAATAGTTTTTTGAACGTGTTCTCATGGTCACCTGCCATGGGTGACACCTGGAGCCCAATTCGGATGTTACACAGCACAAGCTTTCAAGTTTCCTTCACGCCAGCACCTCTCAAACCTAGTGGAATGTGCCAATCAGCTGGGACTTTGAAAGCGGAGGGCAGATCTGGTAGATCCGGGGCGGGGCCCTAGCTGGCTCCCTGGTGACGCTGGTGACGTTGGTGCAGCGACCACATTTTGGGTAGGGAAGTTTCCTGGCAGCAAGCACACTGTGTCCGGCCCAATATGACAAAAGCATTAGTTCCTCCCAGAGTTTCGAATGAGGAGAGCAAGGACTCATTGTCTCTATGGGGGACCACGTAGGTGAGTATGACAATTTGGAAAGAGGCAGTAGAAAGCCATGAGCCACCCTCCTCAAGTCCAGATGTGTAACTTCACAAGGTGAAGGCACTGGGGGATGAGAGACCAAGCAGCCGGACTCCTTTCTGTGCACTGAGAAGTTGTGTAGCCGCAGGCAAGCCTGGGCAGCCTCTAGCCTGTGCCCAACCCAGCTCACCACTGCGGTTTTGTTTTGTTTTTTAATATAAAGTTTTGCTGGGACACAGCCAGGCCCATTTGTTTAGCTATTGGGTACAGATGCTTTTGTGTTACAACAAAAGCAAAGTTGTGTTGTTGCAATAGAGTGCATGGCCCACGACAGCTGAAAGATTGCTTAGCTGGCTCTTGACAGAAGAGCTGACAACTCCTGCCCTTCTACCTAAGGGCTTGCTTGGGGGCAGGAAGGAGCAAGGTTGGTTTGATCTCGGCTGCAGCCAGATCAAAGTAACCCCATTCCCTCAACTGGAAGATGGCCTGATAATAGGGCTCACAACACCCACTCGATAGTATTTATGGAATTCAACAACGCACAGAAATCCTTGCCTCAGGGTACTCAAAATGTGAGCTGTCATCGTGGTTAAAGTGGGGGTGGAAGACCCTGGAATCGTCATCACGCACCTTCTTGTTTCTTGCTCTCTTAGACCCACTTGGCAAAGGTGGGGTCGCAGATATGCAACCACCGTGTAATGCTGCTGGCCAAGCAGAAGGGCTGTGGACACGCGGCAGCCAAGGGTGACCCTTCTGTGCGTATCTGCTTGTTACACACTTTAAAGCTTATCTTCCCCAATTCACATGAACCCCATTTAGGAGCAGGGACCCGGTGAGTAGCCCAGGAAGAGGGTGCAAATAGTTTTTTCTGAAATTCTAATTCCTATAATCCTGACATGCTTCCTGCCCCAAGAAAAGTCAGAACAAAGATTGGACATTGGGCTGAAGCTGATTGGACCCTGGGCTTGCAGGGGGCGGGAGATGCTGAGTGACAGCTGTCTGTAAATCAGCGTTGTAGTGCGTCACTGCTCCACGCCAGTGTGAAGGATGCTCAAAAAGCTCATGGCAAATGCGTATTCTGAAAAAATGCATGGAATTCAACATTTTTTGCACCAAAAAATAAATATCTTCTAATTCCCTTTTTCCATGCGTTTGAAGCACCTGCTGTTGACTGAGACCTCCATCCCAGTACAAGGCTCTCTGGGGGTGAAGCTCACAGCAAAATCTCCCCACCGTCCACAGGGATCCCCAGGGTTGTCCACTGGTGGTTTTTGTTGGACCTGCACAGTACTTGAAAAGAAAATTGGGGGACAAATATTTTTTAAATCATGGCATTTTATTTAAAACTCCAGATCTCCAATCTCTTTTGGAGAATAAAACCTGAACCTCAGAAGCTTTTGTGACACTGGCCACACTCTGCTGGGGCAGCCCTTACCCCTGTGGACAGGGAGTGAGTCTGCTGTCCCTCAATCATGTCACAGACAGGGTAGGGCAGTGGGGGAGTGGGCAGCTGACCCTTCTCACTGTGTCCCCTTGGGCAACCTTCTGAGTCGCCCTGTGCCTCAGCATTCTCATCTGAAAAAATGGGCATGTTAATAGTCCTTATTGAATGTATTTGCTAAGAACACAGTGCTAAGAACAGTTCCTGGCACACAGCAGGTGCTCAACAAATGCACCTGATCCTAAGAACACAGAGAGGAGGTGGGATGGGCCTTGTCCTCAGGCAGCTCACCCCGCTCCACCCCTGCTTCCAATGTCCAAAGGAAACGGAGCACTTAGAACACTCCTGGCCGGCCTCGGTTCCTCGTGGTCCCCCTTGGCCTCACCCTCCCATGGGCCCCAGATGCACACGGCGTTCGTGCACAGACAGCACCCCCGGGGCAAACAGCAAAGAGCGCAGCAGATGTGTTCGGGCTCTGGGCAGGACAGCCACGGGTCTCCCAGAACCGCCTTCCAGAGCAGGAGCAGGACCCCAGCCCAGGGGTGCAGCTCCCCGCCCAGGACGCCACCCGCAGCCCAGCCCCGCAGGAGAAGCTCCGGAACGCACAGTGTTGCACATCAGCCCCTCCGAGGGCCATGCATATGCAGAAGGAAAGTGAGTGAAAACCCAGCGTTTCAGACAGCTTTACATTTTCAAATTAAGTTAATAAAATAAGATTTCCAGTGTAATGACAAATTAATTCTTCTTTTCATAAGTTTATTAAAATAAGCGTCTCCTATCTCCTAACCAGTGCCGACACATGCTTACATAGATACCTCCCGCCCTGTAACCTAATCTCCCGGCAATCTTGAAGCAATTAACTCCTTCTAATCTTGAGCTAACAAAGCCCACCGGCCCGAAAGGCTCCAGAGAACAAACGCCCCTCCCAGGGCTGGGCAGCTCCCTGCTCCCCTGCTCCAGAGTGGTGCCAGAGTGGGGACCGCAGTCATCCTAAGATCTTCATTAACTCCTTGCTGCTCTGCTAATTAACACAAAAGAGAATGAGTTGAGTGTCTGACAGGCAATGACTGAGCTCCGGCTTGGTGGTTGGTGGAATGCAAATGCCATCTAATGAGGCGCCCTGTCTTACAAGGCGGGCAGCTGGTCTACTATTTTTGTGTTGGCTTTTCAAAGTGTTGGAGCACCATGAAAAGAGTTCACCCAATCATTTCCACTGCCGCTGACTCTGTAACATGAAGTCCATGGGTCTCTAGATGTCCTACACAGGACAGCACTAAGTTAAGCCTGTAACTCACAAGGTCTGGGTGACAATACCAAGGCTGGGGGAGGGGTGACAGCTCCAGGCCCTTCCAAACAAAGCGCAGTATTTGTTGATTATGTTGAGTTATGAGATGCATTTTAGATTTTGTTTTAATGTAACAGTGGCTAACATAGTATCAAAAGATTGCCTTTTTTTTTTTTTTTTTTTGGCCCTAAGCATAGCCATTGCAATTTATTATAGTTTGGAAATGTTGGCTGCAGAATCCGAAGTTTCATCATCTAAGATTTATCCTAGAATACAAGTAGAAAAAACAGGCCCAGATGTGATTTGTGTGCTGTCAATAAAATGCTGGTGCAATTCAAGGCGGCTTCAGCCATGAGGTCACTAATGGAGCTCCGAGAAGACGCTGTACCACCCTGGTAAGTTGGTAATGAAGTGACAGAGTCTACAAACAAAAGCCTGACTTTAAAAAGTTTTTTTTTTTTATTGTGATGCATGCTTCTTTATCCACTGCTAGCCCCTGGACCTGAGCTCTCTTCTCAACTCAAGTCTTTAAAAACCTTCATCTGCACTAAAAAATGAGTTGGCAACTCAAGAGACGCAGCACTGCCACTGCCTCCGTCCTCCCCGTGTCTGCATCTGCAGAGTCCTGACTTGAGAGGAGCTGTCTCCTGGTCTCCCTGGTTGCCCTGGGAGCTCACAGAGGCAGGAAACCTGGTCTAACTCAACTCTGAGCCTCTCATACTGCGTAGTGCCGGAAATATAAAAGTCTTCAAAAAGAAATGGGTGGCAGAATTAAGTAAGGCCTGCTGCTACTTGGAGGGGGAGATCTTGTCTCCCATGGTAGAAGTGACCCCAATACAGAGTGTTGCAGAGCGGTGGCGGGGCTGCACCTCTAAGCCCTGTGATGTACTTCGAGGAGCCCCATTTTACAGACCGAGAAACTGAGGCCCCACAAGAGTACAGAGCATGCCCACTAGGCCCAGGTAGTACTGGGCAGTGCTGGGGTTAGATCCCACCCTCTCATCGCTGGACTGAAGCATGTTTTGTTGTGCTGTAATGCTAGGTCACCAGAGGGTTAGTTTCCCATGAGAGGTTTCCGATGGGAATCAATTTCTGGACTGATTTATTCGCAACTGGATAAAGAGTAGTTCTTACTGCCAGGGCGGGCAGAGTTGGTGAAACCAGGTCACCGGCATGGGATTTTAAACTGTCCTTTCCACTTTTAAGCTTCCCAGCTTCTTCTAATTGGGCAAGAAAAAAAAATCAGAGGGAAAAAGTGAACAGAAAGGGAGCAGGTGATGTCGGGAGTTGCACAACTTTCCGTGACGTAACTGCATGTCCTTGACACTCCATCCACGTCTATGAGCCTAAGAAAGGCTGTCTCGGGGCTCCCACCTTCAGTCAGACCTTAGCACCTGCCCCAGCTGGTCCTGCGGGAAGCAAGAAACGGGAGAAATGACCTCCTAGAACTTTCTCTGGGAAAGAACACCCACATAAAATGGGGTCCCTGGTACCATGATCATGCCCCAGCCAGCCTTTCCCAGAGCTAGCGAGAAGTCCTTCTCACCAATTCAACCGCAGGATGCCCAGTGCAAAACCGGTTTCCACCCCCACGGACTGGCCATCAGAAATTCTGGGGAAAGCAGCTGGAGCTCCCGAGCGAGAAGCCACCCAGGCGACCAGCCCAGCGTGCCCCGGACAAGCCCTGGGGGGCCCCGGGCTCTGCTCAGGTGGCACAGCTGGCAGGCGGACTGTAGGAGCACTAGGGAGTGCACTGCAGGGTCGGAAGTTCTATTCGGGCCATTTTTAAAGGCTGAATTTCTTTATTTTCATTTGTTTGGAAGGCGGAAAAAGAAAGATCCTCCACCCACTGATATACTCCCCAAACACTGTCACAGCCAAGGCTGGGCCAAACCAAAGCCAGGAGGCCTAGACTCAATGTCACTCCCCATTGGGTGCAGGATACCCAAGCACTTGAGCCATCACCAGCTGCCTCTCTGGGTGCACACTGGCAGGAATTGGAATTGGAATTGGAGCAGAGCCAGGACTCAAACTCAGGCCAGGACTCAAACCCAGGCCCTCTGGTGAGAGACACAGGTATCCCAAGCAGCGTCTTAACCACTACACTAAATGCCTGCCCCAGTTCCTCCTTATTTATTTATTGGAAAGGCAGAGAGACAGACCCAGACAGACAGAGATCCTCGATGTGCTGGTTCACTCTTCAAACGCCTGCAACAACCAGGGCTAAGCTGGGCTGAACCTGGGAACCAGGAAGTCAACATGGGCGCCCCCGGGGGTGGCAGGGCCCCGCCCACTTGAGCCATCACCCTCTGCTTCGCCGGTTGCATGAAGCTGGCACTGGGAGTGGAGCTAGAATTTGATCCCAGGCACTTGATACAGGATGCAGCTATCCCAAGAAGTGTCTTTATCTCGAGGCCAAAAGCCCACCCCTGACCCCATTGTAATGATCAAAGGAGCGTGATGAGTCCACCAGCCCGGGGTTTGTCGCCATCTCTTATTGCAAACTGGGGAAAGGTATGAACACCATATCCAAGGGACATCAGGCTCTAGAGGGGAGATTCCCGGATCCCCAGCCCTCGCCACCTTGGGGCCACCCGCTCTTCCTGTACTGTCACCCCAGGGACTTCAAGCGTGGGGACCCGGACCCATCAGAGCACCAGCTCTGCCCCCTCCACCTTTTACGTGCATAAGGTCTGAGAGCGGGCAAAACGCAGTGGGTTCCGTCATGGGCGGCCTCTAAGTCTCCCCTCCAGGACAACTAGTTACAGCTGGAGAACCGATGATACCCACCAAACAGGAAAATAGGAATCACAGGGCATCAGGACACACAACGCTCAGGGAGAAAGAAACTACAGATGTGAGAGGACCAGCCCCTGCAAATGACGATCTTGACAATTGCTTTCTCAACCATGGGCAGCTGCCAGGAGAACTGTGGAAAAGGCAGGGACTAAATACAGATCTGTTCCCCTTTTATTTAAATGAAATCATCCTTGTATGTTAAATATACTTAGGATGTCACCAATTTTGGAGGTAATCTTTTAGGTTAAGTATGTTCCCACATTAAACTGATAATTATCCCTCCTTCTCTTCTTCTATCCCCCTGACACTCAACACGCTGGGTTTTTGCCTCATGTTTTATTTATGGCACGGAATTAATATGCAGATTCACAAAAACTTAAAAACTCATAATTATTCATAAAGGGCTTTAAGGTTATTTAGTACATTTTTATGAAACTCGGGGTTTGTGGGAATGCGTACTTGAAAGTTGTTGGAAGCAGGCTAAGGTTAAGTCGTGATCTGTGGAGTAATCTGAGAATGATCAAACCCTTTGAATAAGAGTGTTTGCCAGCATTCCTAATCTATATTTAAGAGAGTTGCGGACATCATAAACCTGGTAAATATATTCAAGGCTGGCCTGGCGAGAGAGATTTGCATACCCAATGCAAACATCCAGTGTAGGGAGGAATATCCAGTTGGGAATCCCTGATCACTAAGGAAAGGTAATAAAGGAGAGAGAGATTTCTTCCTTGTGTTTTGGCCATCTCGCCAGTGCTATGCACCGTTACAAATGTGCTCAAACCTAGAAAACAAGGAACGCCAGTGAGGACTGGGTATCGTCTCGTTCTTCGGGAGCAAACAGAGCCAGAGGGTATCTCTTGGTGGAGACCACCGCGGGGGGCTCCTGGAGGTGCTGGCTGAGGAGCGCCCAGCACCTGGGAAGAAGTGTGGAGGGCCCGGGTCTGCAGATCCCTGCCTCCCCTGGCAGGGACGGAGGCTCCTCACTCAGCTCGCCATCATGACAGATATTCTGATGGGGAAGTCACCTCGCTGCACAAACTCTGGGGCGTCTGATGCAAAACCACCCATGAAGGGATGCGTGAGTTTCTGGGATGTTCTCACCGGAAGCTGTGGGAGCGCCAGGCCATCAAGTGCAGGTAGCAGGAAGCTTGGTGGTGCTCGGGGAACTCCTCTTTATGACAGCATCGCATGCGTGCAGGTAGAACGGAAAGCACGTGACCTTTGCTCTTAGACTTGGAACTGAATCTTTGTCCTCAGCAGCTTCGTGATCTTGCGTGAGTCAGTGAACCACATGGGGCCTTGGTTGACTCATCTGTTTAAAAAAAAAAAAAAGTGTTGGGGCTGGCGCTGTGGTGCAGCAGATTAAAGTCCTGGCCGCGGCTCCGGAATCCCATGGGCACCGGTTCGAGTCCCAGCTGCTCCTCTTCCGATTCAGCTCTCTGCTGTGGCCTGGGAAAGCAGCAGAAGATGGCCCAAGTCCTTGGGCCCCTGCACCCACATGGGAAGACCTGGAGAAGGCTCCTGGCTCCTGGCTCCTGGCTCCTGGCTTCGGATAGGTGCAGCTCTGGCCATTGCGGCCATTTGGGGAGTGAACCAGCAGATGGAAGACCTCTCTGTGTGTCTCTACCTCTCTCTGTAACTCTGTCTTTCAAATAAATAAAATAAATCTACCTTTAAACAGCTATGAGAGAGTAGATAGGAAGCCTCTGGAACAGCACTTGGCACCTGCCAGGCCCAGAAGTGCCGGCGGCTGTTTGTTGGCCAAGTTTCTTAAAATATTCTCATGAATATTTTAACCTTGAGTGCACATCTCTGCTCCTACACAAAGATGTGGATCTCCAGAAACACTGTGATCTTTGTCTGAAATGCAGCAATGGCTAAATGGAATAGGCACTAATCTATTTGCATCGCCTGGTGTCTATTACATTATTTGAAATAATATCATATTTACCAAAGGCTTACAAAACGTAAATATGGATGAAAACAGAGCTGTCTTCACGACGAGAGGCACTCCGCTCGCGAGAGGAAGCGGGAGTAATCCTCTTTCCGCAGCTTCACTACGCTGCAAAGCAGGCTCCAATCCCCCGGCCCCTTGGTGTTTCTCTTCAGAGCCAAGGCGGTGGCACAGGGGAGCCGCTCCGGGCTTCTGCTTCAGCAGCACGCACTTGCCAATGGGGTGGGCAGGGCGGACAGCGGGCTGAGGACGGCCTGGGGGAGGTGCCCAGGCCCCTGGGGGGCCGCTCTTTCCCTGGCCCCGCTCCCCACAGGAGATAGGCGGTGGAAGTCAGGTCTTCAGATGACTCAATAAAAACGCTGATAAATATTTAAATCTCTTAAATACAGACATAACCCACAGACATGACAGTTGGAGCAATAAACTCAATTGATTTCATGAGGGTGAACTGCTGGACTGAACCCTCAGAGAGCCCAGCTGCTCAATGACCAGCCGAAGCACCCTACATCCGACTCTCCCGCGACTCCCGCTTCCTAACCGGAAATGTTCCCAGCGGTGAAGCTTCCGTAATCTTGAAGACAGCGCTGTAAACGTGCTGTGTGATTGATTACTCATGGAAAGGAAAATACATGGATTTTCTAATAACTGTATATGGTTAACTCATACAGTGCTGATTAAAAATGTACCCTCAGGGGCCGGCGCAGGTAAAGATGCTGCCTGCATCGCCAGCATCCCACACGCGTGCCGGTGGGAATCCCCGCTGCTCCACTTCCAAGCCGACTCCCTGCTAGTGGTCTGGGAAAGCAGCGGAAGATGGCGCAGGTGTTTGGGCCCTTGACACCCATGTGGGAGACCCGGAAGAAGCTTCTGGCTAACTGGCTCCAGCATGGCCCAGCCGTGGCTGTTGCAGCCATCTGGAGAGTGAACCAGATGGAAGCGCGCTCTCTAGCTCTCTCTCTCTCTCTCTGTTGCCTTCTCTGTAATTCTTTCAATTAGATAAATAATTTAAATAAAATATTCCCATTCTCTCTATATGTAGTAAAGATACATATGCACAGCCCCCCCCCCCCACACACACACAGGACACCAAAAAGTGCATGGAAATGGAATAAAAAGACGAGTTGATTTTGGTGCAAAATTTTTTAATTTCATGCATAGCTTCTCCACGGTACACATTCCCCAGGACGTTTTTGAAGACTTCTCGAATGCCCGGCTTTGATGCGAGTGGGAAAGGAGAGATGGGAACCCTCACCCACCCCAGACACTTGGCAGCTTACACAACTGGCCGCTTACTCTTAGAACAGACGAGCTCTTCTGTGCGGGCAAGTTCTGCAGACTTCGGAGAGGCCTTCTTGCTTTTTATCCCCTTCATGCTTTTAAGGAATTGACACATTAAGCTTTGGGAAATTGACAAGTATCAACTGGCTCCAGTTGATATTGCTAATATGCAGCTAAGAGCGCCAGTCATGTGACAGTCGCGGCCACGTCCAGTGTGAATGTAGATGGCTGAAAGTCATCTGAAGACTAAAGTCCCTTGATCTTTGTGATTTCTCAGTAAGGCTGAACATTCCTGATGGACACCCTTGTTAATCCCTCCTCCCCAGCCCGTCTGTAACGTGCATAATTCTCTGTGAGCGTCCTCAGGGCTCCTACTCACTGTTCACAGTCACTTCCCTTCCTCTTAACTCCCGAAGAATCCCTTTCACAACGCGGAGTGCAGGTGGCATCATTCCCAGGTACCAGCAGTCCTTAGCCCCACAGCCATAGGGTCACCTCTGGGCCTTACTCAGCCACATCTCTCCTGTCCATGCATTTCCCCTTCACCTCCATCCTCTCCCTAATACAGGCTCACGTCAACTCCTGCCCGGACCCTTTAGGTGGGCTCTGGTCTCAGCCACTGCCCACAGATGCTCCGACAGCACCCAAACCCACACCCCACTCTGTCCGTTCCTGGTCTCTCTTTCTCCTTCTTGGCGCTGTGATCTGTAGGCACACCGCATAGTTTCTAGTTCCCATAATGCCCAGGGGGGATGCTGTATAACGGGCAGGTTCACTTGTGAGATGTCCAGCCAAAGTGATAGAGAATATTTTTCAAGTGATGTTTTATGTCACAGCTCATGCCTGGGTCCATTTTCCTTGCAAAAAAACAGAAGCATGAGAAACACCCAAGTCCTTGCTGAACATCATTCGAAAACCACATCACCAATTTCCAAGATGACCACATTGGTGTTTGCGCGTTTGGGTTTCCTTCCAGACCTTCCTCTATGCTTGCATGCGTGCATGTCACACAGGCTGTTGGTACAGCTGATGGGGGAAAATGACTCCTCTTTCTACTAAACACCGGAGAGGTGATGGAATTCACAGCCTGAGCGACTTCCTGCCCGGAATCTGCTGAACTCTTTGCACACGTGTCTTCGTTCCTCCAGCTTTGTTCCTCACACCACACGTATCCTGGTGCAGCGCCTTAGTGCTGTGTTCAGGATGCTGCAGCAAGTGACAAAGGGATGTTCTTGTTGTTCGCTTTTCCACTGCAGCTACCAACAGGACAAGAGCAACGATGCTCCAAGGCTGTCCCTGGAAGAGCTGAGTTGACCGCCAGCCCCGACTACCCACCCCCATTTCCTAACAAGTTGGAAGCAGGGGCTGCGTGAGCCCAAGTTTGCAAGAAATCGCTTCTGCTCTGATGAAGTGCTCAATAACGCTGCGGCTGGAACCGGAGCTCTGGACCCCAGCATCAGCCGGCTCGCCTGCACCCCGCGCTCTCACCAACAGCAGGGTCTAGGAATTTAATATACTTTCAAGTGAGTTTTAGTATGTGTGACATTTTTGAGCCACAAGCTAAGTTCACAGGAATGTCAAATTGGTCAGACAATTCTCAAGATGTGCTGCTGGGTACTAATGAGATCCCAGTCTCAAAGGTGGTATCATAGCTCCCTCCTGTTTAAGTATGCAAATGCCCTGATAAGCATAGTCGTTCATGAGTGTGACTAAAGTAGGAAGCCCTACCTCCAAAACTCCATGGAAATCCCTGTACCATTGGCTAAACACAGCTAAATATGTTAACAGAAATCAGCCAGGGGTGGGCATCGTGCTGTATGTGGTGTAAGTCATCTCTCAAGACACCTGCATCCCTTTCGGGATGGCCATTTCCTGTCCTGGCTACCCTACTTCCCTACAGCTTCCTGTTAATGCACCTGGGAGGGCAGCAGATGATGGCGCAAGTGCTTGGACCCCTGCCACCCATGTGGGAGACCCGGATGGAGTTCCTGCCTCCTGACTTCAGCCTGGCCCAGCCCTGGCTTTTGTGGCATCTGGGGAGTGAATAGCAATCTCTCTCTCTCCCTCTCTCCCTCCCTCTCCCTCTCCCTCTCCCTCTCCCTCTCCCTCTCCCTCTCCCTCTCCCTCTCCCTCTCTTTCCCTCCTCCTGTCCCCTCCTCTGCTTTTCAAATAAATAAGTGAAAAAAATTACCTAGTACTTTTTTTTTTGACAGGCAGAGTGGACAGTGAGAGAGAGAGAGACAGAGAGAAAGGTCTTCCTTTGCCGTTGGTTCACCCTCCAATGGCCGCCGCGGCCGGCGCACCGCGCTGATCCGATGGCAGGAGCCAGGTGCTTCTCCTGGTCTCCCATGGGGTGCAGGGCCCAAGCACCTGGGCCATCCTCCACTGCCCTCCCTGGCCACAGCAGAGAGCTGGCCTGGAAGAGGGGCAACCGGGACAGAATCCGGCGCCCCGACCGGGACTAGAACCCGGTGTGCCAGCGCCGCAAGGCGGAGGATTAGCCTAGTGAGCCGCAGCGCCGGCAATTACCTAGTACTTTTGCAATCAAAAGTGGCCAAGTTGCTTCAGGGGCCCCAGAGTTTTCACCACCCCAGGGGCAAGGAGCTGACACTGATAACATCATTTCCCTGCAAGTGTTGAGTTTCTGTTTATTTTCAACACAGGCAGCTGGTAGGTAAATTTATCCTTAAAAAGAGTGACCCTTTTAGTGGTTCTGCTTTATCTGAAAGAGGAATCACTTACACTTGCTCCCCCAGCCTGTTTGGGAAACAGTTTCCCCTGCTTCAGCAAGACCTCTTCGTTGGTGGGGGCTGCCTGGATGGAGAGATGTGGGGCTCCGAGGAAATGAGTGTCGTGATTGATTAGTGATGTCTGGGGCCACAGGTGGCGATGTCTGCTAAGAGGGCAGGAAGGGACTGCTCCTTGTGGTATCGCCATCTCTGTGCATGGGTTCATTCACCCGTGAATTTGGGCATACTTAGTCCTTCTTTTTGGACGATGCAACGTAGGAAAGCGATCCTGGAATCTGAGTTTCTGTGGAAGGGATGGCAGACAGCATCAGGGATCCAAGGGTTCCAAGC